TCCTTGGACTAATTACCGTATATACAAAAACAGCATTGTAATGGGCCTTTAGAAAGTTTCTGCTATTTTAGACTGACCTCCATCTAATAAGGAGGTGGTAAAAAGGTTTATCGGTTTTGCAAAATATAGGAATTTCATCAGGGGCCTCTAATACATTATAGCACCCATTACTCAACTGATGAAGAAGCACAGTCAGTTTCAGTGGTTCTCATGGGCATGATCTGCATTTGAAAAGTTTAAAAGGACTTTTTACAGCTGCAACATTTCTAAGACATCCAGTCGCTGCCCTAGCATATATTTTGGAGGTTGATCCTTCAGAAAATACAGTAGGTGCCATCATGTCACAATGCCAAAGACCTAAAAATCTATCATGCTATCAATCTATTTACCCAGTGGCATTTTTTTTGATTAAAGTAAGTACAGCAGAGAGGAATTAGGAGGTGTACTAGCAATAAGGTAAGCCCTGGAAGAAAGGTGCTCACAGCTGGAAGGGATGAACAATCAATATCTTCACAGACTGCAAGAACTTTGAATATCTCAGGTCAACAGGTCCAAAAAAGGCCAGACCAAGCAAAATGGTCGTTATTTTTCTTACTATGTATCAACTACTACATACTATGTCTAAAAATGGTAAAGCCAATGCTTTGTCCTTTTTTTCTGAATCTGACTGATTCTAGCACCCAGAAACCATTCTGGAAGCTGAGAATTTCTTGATGCAAAATAATTTAATGTCATAGATTTGACAAGCATCATTGGGGAATTCTTTACCACTTTGTATTAAACTACAAGAAAAGGATGAATTATTCTGGTAAGAGGGCACAATCTTTTCTTTCTAGAATCTTCAAACTGCCATTTTAAGAAGGTGCCACATTTACGCTCTAGCTGGTCACTATGGTCTTCGTTTAATTACTCCTTTCGTGTGTGTGCTGGAGCAGATTGCAGGAAAAACATTGGAACTTTGTGGCACCAGCATCTGAAACAAGGGCAGGAAAAATTCAGCAAGAATAAAGTCTGGGGCCTATTAAAGTCCCGCACAGACCATGGTACATGATTTTGATTGATGTCATTGTCACGTTTCTTCCTTCTGACAATTCTGAAAGACGCTGCTCAGATTTTTGGGCATTGAGTTGAGCTCATCAGCATACCACTGACAGATCAATTAGTGAACCAATCAGAACTATGTCTGACCTTCATAACTATGTTCAGACCTGCCCTTGGATTTCTTTCCTCCTCCTGTGTTTGCTGTTTATCTTCATTACTGACTTACTGACTTAGGCATGGAGTTCCAACCAAGATGGCTCTCGACGACTCTGTACCTCTGCCTGTTTTTTTTCTATCTTCTAACAATTTGGAGCTTTGATGCTCATCTGTTACGTACCCTGACCTGTGAGCTGAGTCTGTGTCTAAGATCTGTATCTGAGAATTTCCATAAATTCCTACACCTAGTTTCTTGTGCCCTTCCATCATCTTCATCTCAGGCTCCTTATACAAGTATGACATACAGGTATGAAACAGTGATATCAAAACTTGCCCACAGATAGTATATACACAAAAAATGCACTACAGACTGCAATAAAGCAAGGGATAAAGGTTGCATACGAGTGTCTCAATGGCCAATTAATGTGGCAGTTGGATAATCAAAGGTGCTGGCAGACCTAGTTATTCCAACACCAACTTTTGGCAAAAATTAAAAACAAAAGATAGAAATTGAATATGAGTGATGTATGGAAAGAGCACATGCTGTTGTCAGGCATCATTCTTGATCTCTAAGAATAAATGTAATTAACATAAGATGTAAATATTCAAATAATGAAATTACTCATGCAGTATAACCTTACTAAATAGTACAAAGAGCAGTGTTAAGCATAGTAATCCAGAGTAACTTAAGATTTCAGTTTATTGTAATTATAACAGTTATAAGGTGTTTTATGATGGGTTGTTATGGTTTACTCCACTTTGCCTATCATCTCTGTTCTTTGCACTGCCCAGGGTTACCTATGCACTATATTAAGGTTTTAAGTAATGCATGCACCACTTTTTTGATTGCATAGCACCGCAATGCACATTAATGATGTACCGTGTGTTGTGACACAACTGGTTGCATCGTGGGTGGAAAGTGCGTTTGGGGTGCCAGTGAAACGAAAGGCAACACAACAGACTTGCTATACTGTTAACACAAGGTAGGTGCGTTGCGCAGTATGGTGCATTAATTGTACGGAACCGATTAATGCATTGCACCAGTGTGAATGGCCCCTCAAGCCTAGATTCTAAAATGTCACACACTCAAATGTCAAAAGCAAAATATGTTATCATTATAAAAAAAAGAATCAAATTATTGGCAAGTAACACCAGAATACCTACAAACCAGCTCAAAGAAAAGTAGCACTATTACCAACAGCAATGAATTAGATGCTTACTATGCTCATTTAACTACATTACAGAGGATTGTAAGAAACACAGTCTTAACCATTGCTTGCTCATGGACTTTTGTTATTTTAACATACACTTTCATCTGTATAACCAATATAAAACCATGCTGTTTTGAGTGTATGAAGCAATCCATTAGTTTTTAGGGTTTTTTTTTTTTTGCTCAGACCGCAGACTGAATGAAAAAATCTAAAAGTGTATAGCTAGCTTAAAGTGTCTATAGAGGTTTGCAGTCAGATGGAGGAACCTGTTCACAGGAAAAGTGAGCTGGTCGGGATGGATCCTGGAAGACTGGTGTTATCCCCAAGAAAAGAGCACCTTGAAAAGTTACCTCTTCCTTCTCTGTCAGCAAAAACATGCATGTCTTCCCAATATGCATGTGTGGAGCTCAGCAAGAATTGTTAGTGGATGTAATTAACACTGTCTTTTTTTCAGAAATAAGTTTTTATTCAGTTTTTTACAAAGACAAAAGAACGTGGATACAATAACAGAAACAAAAAGGCGTACATACAGCACAAAGACCCGCGGTCTCAGCAATCAGATGCATAGCACGTCCGGGCCTTAGGGCATAGAAGGCACACATGGTATAGGCAGTTATGAAATCCCTGAGCTAGACATAATATATAAATCGCCACCATGTTAGGTTATGATCAACGCCTCGCCGTCTAGACGATCATCCTCCGAGAGGACGATTCCCAACTCCTGTTCCCAAGCGGAAAAGAAGTACAGGGAATCCCCACTGTGTGTGGTGATCAATGCTTGGTAAAGCAGCGAAACTGGGCGTTGGATTGGAAGACCAGAGGCGCACAGGTCCTCAGAATCTGGGTTTCTTATTCCTCCAAATATAGCGTAGGACCGCCGAGCGGATTCGCTTAAAGAAGCGGATCGGGAGACTTATAGGGAGAGTTTGGAACAAATAGAGGCATCGAGGTAGTAGGTGCATCTTGAACAGTGCGATTCTGCCAAACCAGGTATGATGTAGGTTCATCCAGGAGGTAACAGTGTCCTCCACGGATTGCAACAGTGGGGCATAATTAAGTGAGTACAAGTCCGACAATGTGGCTGGCACCTTAACCCCAAGGCAGGTAATGTGATCCGACCGTACTCGAAAGGGCAGTGAGTCCCGGAGGGTGTCCCGTTCTGCAGGGGGAAGGGATACATCCAAAAGTTCACATTTTTGCACATTTACCCGGTAATTGGATAGACCCCCAAATATTTTAAATTTGTGCAACACCGAAGGCAGGGCCACCAGTGGATTGGAAAGGTACAACAATAGGTCGTCAGCATATAACCCCATTTTATGGATTTGCTTGCCGATTGAGAGGCCTTGGATAGATTGATTGAGTCTAAGAGCGTTTGCCAGGCGTTCCATGACCAGTATATAAAGCAATGGAGACAGGGGGCAACCCTGTCGGGTGCCATTATGTATGTGGAACGGAGCCGAAAGCACGCCGTTCACTCGTACTCTGGCATGCGGTCGGCAATAAAGTGCCATGATTTTATCCACAAAATCTGCAGGGAAGCCCGTCTGAAGCAAAGAGGCCCGCAGGAAAGGCCACCCAACGCGATCGAAGGCTTTCTCTGCGTCCACCGAGAATAAGCAAAAGGGGATTCCATGTGTCCGAGTGTAATGCATCAGGGTGATTGTTCGCCTAATACTATCTTTAGCCCCCCGTGCAGGTACAAACCCCACTTGTTCCTTATGAATCAGGTTAGGGATGAAGGATGTCAACCTGTTAGCTAGGATTTTCGCGTAGACTTTAACATCGACGTTTATTAATGAAATGGGGTAATTAACACTGTCTTAACCCGTAGTTCTCAACTGGTGGTTCGTGACCAAAAGTGGATCTAAACCCCATATTCAGTGGGTCGCCGCGTGCCTTCCACTGCACTAGGGGAAAGGCTCCTCAGCCTCCCCCTTGTTCAGCTCTGTCAGTTATCCCATTGAGCAGCCATTCAAAATATGCTGCCTGGCGCCGTGTCAGCTTGAGGTGGGGTGGGCTGGGGGTATGACCACGAGGGAGCTCCATCTATACGTGCATTGCTTACACATCCCCTGCATGCCCTGTAGAGGTGTCTGGACTAGTGTGACGTCACATTCTGGCTCCTGGCACCTTTACAGGACACCCCAAAACCACCTCCCTTCCACAGTTCGCCCGCACCAGAACACAAGCTACCGCAGTGCAACTTGGGGCATGACTTAATGACCAAGGACAAATGTGGGTCCTGAGGTTACACAGGTTGAGAACCACTGGTCTAAACCATTGCTTGCTAATAGACTTTTGTTATTTGAACATACACTTTCATCCGTATAACCAATATATGGTAATTTACCCACATTCTCAAAGTTAACACTATATTGTCATGTTGGCATTATTATTGTGGTGATTTTTTGAGATACTTTTTTTTCTGCAAAATAGTTTTCAAACAAAATCCTCTCTTAACCCCTTCACGACCCATGATGGGAAAATTCTGTCACAAATCCTCAAGGGGGTAAAACAAAAAGCCGCCGGGACCCTGTTCAGATTTGTAGAGCCGGCGACCGACTTTACAGTAGAAGCGATTCTGGCAGCTCAGCTGCGGCCAGATCGCTTCCACGTTCCGAAAAACTGACCGCCACCCACGTCGTATTTCCCGGGCTCCGGTGCTCCTCCTACGGGTGTTGGCGGAAAGCTGGGGAGGAGACCGGCGTCCGTCAATTCACCGATCTCCCTGTTCTATGGGACAGAGAGCGACGCATATTGCATCACTTCTGGTCCCTGAGCTAACAACACGTAAACAGAAAAAAAAAGGCCTATGTCCGTAAGGGGTTAAGGTACCCATTCACCTGCAAATTATCATTTGAAAAATGAATGCAATCGTGGTTTCTTACGATAATCAGCCAGTTGATGGGAAGTGCACGATCCCAATTACTGTACAACTAGCCAAATTTGGTTGATTGGACATACTAGAAAACTTTAGTTGAAATGGACGAAAATCGATGGATTAGTGGCGTTTTCTTACAACAAAAATAGTAATATGAACACTGCAGATGTGCAAATGAAAATCTGTTCTGTCAATCAACGAAATTTGGCCAATTAGTATTGCTGATGAACGATTAGCAAAATCTACATTGGTCTGTGCAGGATGGACTATTTGTGAGGAAATTGAACGAGGGTGCGATGACGGGACAAACAAAATTTAAAACCATCTGCAATTCTGTCTAATGTTCCCTGGCTGAGGAGCCTGTTCACGAGACAGGGGACATCATGTGAAGCTCTCTCTTTCCAAGGATTATGAAAGGCCCTGCACAATTATTGGACATGCAATTCAGCTTCTTGTGAACATACCTTTAAAAGACCAATGGTCAGACTGAGTGAACCAATCAGAAATATATACTGTGTATATATTTATATATATATATTTAAAGGAGAATTATGAGGCGAGTGATTTTCACTCAGCCTCATAATCTGAGCCGACCTGTGACAATGAAACTGTCACAGGTCGGCTCAGTAGATCGGGAAGTGAGCGAACACATACCGTCGCTCGCTCACTTCTCGATCTACCTGTGCAGAGAGCCGTGACTGTCACTCACGGGTCCCTGCAGGGATTCCCCCCCTCCCCTATCCTCCAGCGCTGACTGGCGGAACAGACGGGGGAGGGGGCGGGTACAGCTGGCTCTGCCTCTGGATAGGCAGAGCCAGCTGTCACTCACGCAGCTGAGTGGATCCAGACAGCATTGTCCGGATCCGTTCCGGCGTCTCAGTATACCGCGAGCCGTAGCGTGTGGTATACTGAGCTTTGGGTGACGGGAGGATGCTAGTTTGTGTCCTCCCGTTACCCTTAGGAGAACTATGGTGAAGAGCCCTAACCCCATAGTTCTCCTCTAATATTGCACTGTGTCATATTATATCATCTATAATCATACAGCAAGGCGAGATAAGGATCTCATTCATCTCAGCCTGCAAGGCTTAAATTATCCCTGAATGCTGAACAGTGAACCAGTAGGGTTGCCTAACTGCCTTGCCCCCTCTCTGCTCACTATGACCAGCAGAAATGAACATATACATATACATAGAGACAGAAGCAACAAAAGAGGATATTTTCTCTCTCCCTCTTATCATTGTCTTGTGTGAAAAGGTGGAAAGAGAGGCAGCATTCTCAGAGGATTAGAAGGTAGGAATGAATTAGGTGTAACAAACAAGCTTCTGCTCAAGTAACCAAAGTAGCTCAAGTATACTTCACCTTACTGTCGTTTGCTGGGTAATCTCCAAGGCCAAATCCCATACAGCAATCCAACTAAAATCAAAATAATATTTTAAAATAACAATCAAAATTTATGGCAAGTCACATCAGAATACCTATACAAACCGGCGCAAAGGAATGTAGCGCTAATACCCACAGCAATTAATTAGATGCTTACTATTATACTCTAAATACAATACAAAAATATTAAAAAAACAACTTGGAAGTACCATTATTTTTACGGTTATGAAGTTGTTAACGGTTAGTGAATGTAATTAACACTGTATAAACCATTGCTCACTCATAGTTTTTTTGAATATACCCTTCCATCTGTATAACCAGTATATGACAAATTATAGACAGTATCACTTTCTTCAGCACTCAGAGTTAACCCTATTTTGTCATTATTATTATGAGGTGATTTTTTAGATAATTTTTTCTGCAGTATAGTTTTCAAACAAATCCTCTCTTAAGGTGCCCATACACCTTACGATTATCGTACGATAATCGTATGCGATCGACTTTTCGTACGACAATCGTAACGTGTGAATAGAGTGCCCGACCGATAGTACTGTACAATCGTACGACTTTTGACGGTCAAGCATGTTTGAAAACTTTGGTCGATCGTACGATGTTCGCATGGTTGGTGGCGTTTCCGTCCGTCAAAAGTCGTACGAATAACACTGCGCATGCGCAAACTAAAATAATTGCGGTCAATTACCGCAAGTCATCCAGATGTTTTTTTTTAACTACCGCTGATTGAGCCTATTGATAATCGGGGCAGGATGGGGGTGTCGTACGAAAATCATATGACGGTTCGATCATCGGACGAAAAGTTTAGTCCGATAATCGTAAGGTGTATGGGCACCTTTAGGCTGGCCATACACTTGTAGACTTTTGGCTGATTCACAGGAATCAGCCAAAAGCATAAGCCCCCTGGAGAAGGGCAATCAGATGAGTGCAAAACAAAATCTATATTTATACTGTGTATGTGTATCAGTATAATCATAAAGCCAGGGGAGATAAGGATCTCATCTCAGCTGGCAAGACCTAAATTATCCCTGCACAGTCAACCACTAGGGTTGCCTAACTGCCTTGACCCCTCTTTACTCACTATGGCCAGTAGACATGAACATATCCAGGCAGCTATATATAGTGCCCTCTTTTGCATCCTCTGTGTATACTGCAAGCGCCAGAGGACTTCTTCAATATTTATTTTTTATACAAAAGTGACAGAAGCAACAAAAGAGGATGTTTTCTCTCGTCCTCTTATCACTGTCTTATGTGAAAAGGTGGAAAGAGAGGCAGCATTCTTAGAGGATTAGAAGGTGGGAATGATTTACATGTTGCAAACAAGCTTCTGCTCAAGTAACCAAGTATACTTCACCTCCAGATCTTGATCACTTATGCTACCAGCACAATAGTTCAAAATGTCATGCTCCTAAAATCAAAATATATGATTAAAACAATAATCAAAATGAGTCACACCAGAATACCTATACAAACTGTTGCAAAGAAAAGTAGCACTAATACCCACAGCAATTAATTAGATGCTTACTATTATACTTTAAATACAATACAAAAATATTGAAAAAACTTGGAAGTGCCATCATTTTTACTAATTTTAATTATTTTGTATGTTATCAAGTTAACTGTTAGCGGATGTAATTAACACGGTCTAAAAATCATTGCTCACTCATAGATTTTTGTTATTTAAACTGTGAGGGTGTTAGCTTGGCAGCGGGTGTGTGACTCCCTGATGAGTTCACTACACAGTCAATAGGCACAGCAAGCAACGATTTATTCAGGTGAAAACACGTGCAGTTTATTTACACTATTTACAAGCAAAAATGAGCAAAACAAAAAAAAAACCATGAACTCTTGGCAACTTACTACACACAGAGTTTCCTCCACTATTAAGTAGGTGCAACCTTGTGCTGCCCCTAGCACCCATCTTCCTACTGTATAAACTGCCACACAGGCTGTACCTCACACGTTTGGGTTTTTCTTTTTCACCACAGAGGTAGCTACAAAGCTCCCCAGTCTACTCATGCACAAAACTGGTTCCAGGGTGGAGAAAATCTCTGATCAGTCTGGGAGTTCTTATAGACGCTCTACTGAGCCAGCTTCCTTCAGGTGGGCTCATTACCTCTACCACTGAAGCACTCCCAGCACTCCCTCTAGTGGAAGAAATCTGTATACATGCACCCAGGCGATTTTACTTGCCTGCTGTCACAGAACATACACATTCATCTGTATAAACAATATATGGCAATTTATAGACAGTATCACTTTCCTCAGCACTATGAAAGCTAACACTACATTGTCATGTTGGAATTATCATTGTTTGAGGACTGTAAGCCCAGGACATTTGTCTACATGAGTTGATACGGTGATTTTTGAGACAATTTTTTTCTTCAGTAAAGCTTTCAAACAAATCCTCGATTAGGGCAGGTTCACACCATTTTCCGGACCAGATGTGGTCCGGAAAATGGTGTGAACCTGCCCGCAGTTCCAGTGCAATCCAGACCAGACAAAATGGGCAGTATTTTTCTGGTCTGGTCTGGAACGGACTGTGCTGGTGTGAACAGGGGCCAGAAATAGCATAGGGATACATTAGGATGCATTTTGGGTCCGGAAACAATCTGGTCTGGTCTGGAGATGATCTGGATGTGGTGTGAATGAGCCCTGAGGCTGGTTATACACTGTTAGATTTTTGGCTGATTCACAGGAATGAGCTGAAATTCTGTTAGTGTGCCTGCTGGCTTGACAAAAATCAATAACTTAGTTGATTTTGAGAAAGGGACCAGGTCGAACAGCTGCAGGTGATGCCTATAAGAATACAATAGCCACAGTGCTACCACCGTACTACAACCAGTTACTGGAACTGGTTTTAGTGCGGTGGTAATAATAGAGTCATTTTCATGTTTTGAAGGGGTGGCTGAGCTCTTTCTACTGCAGCTTTCTAGCATTCTTCATTTTACAACATTTGATATTTGGTTATTTAAACATACCTCTTCATCTGCGTACTCCATGTATGACAATATATCGACATCTTCAGCGGATATGATTTCAAGACTGTTTGGTTCAACATTCTCACTTTCTATAGCACTCTGAAAGTTAATACAATATTGTCATGTTGAAAATCATGTCCAAAATGTCATGTGATAATGTCAATACAAACAGTAACAGCAGAATGTAGTTATACTACAGTATATAGTATTCAATGTGAAAACTATTGCCCTGCAAAGTATTTATTTACATCTTTGCCTAAGAACTTACAGTCACCATGTCTTCAAACAGCTCCAACTCTCCGCTTCCTTTCCCTGAACTTCCTGTCCACTACAAAATCACAAGGGAGAGCAGCTGTTCTTCATTCTCCCTTCTCCAAGCTAGTAGATGGAGGGAGAAAAGGAAAAGAGGAGATCAAGGGGTGGGGAGTAGCTTGCTGCACTTGTGTGTTTGTGGAGACACACACAGCTTACTAGCACACACAAGGGTGGCTCCATAAGACCCTGTAAGGGAAAGGAGCCACTCTCCTGCTCCATTCACATATAGCGCCTGTGTTTCCCATGCGGTTTTCTGCGCGAATGAAAACGCAAAATTTTTTAATCTGCACTGATTCTGCTCATTTGCGGCTGTTATAGAATCCTACAAATTATCGCGCTTGTACTATTTTGCGAGCCGATCTGTTTCGTACTGCGCGGCCGCCACAAAAGTCTAAACAATGCACATGCATTGTTTTTTCTGTTTAGAGCGGCACCGTGCGTATTACACGCGGACAACCGCTCCTGTGTGAATGGAGCCTAAAACAGGATATCAGGACCAGTGCTCTGGGTGCCAGCTGGAGCAGCATCCATTGTAAGTGATTTTATCAGCATTTGAAATCGCTTAAAAACATTTTAACCTTAATATCACTTTAATTATTTCACTTTCCATTTTTTCATCCCTCTGTCCCTGATTTTCTCTCTCAGCCCATCTTACTATTTGTTGCTTGCACATCTTTACCTTGTTTTATTACATATAATGTCATCTATTACCATTTAAAGTTGAAGTCCCAGCTAAAGGAATATTGCCCCAATACAAAAGCCAAGTATTCTTACTTGAACCTTGTTGTCTTGTGTGTATTTTTCCCACATGTGTGCAGCAATTCAGCAATGAAACAATTCCTGCATGTTGCCTCTGTGCAAGTTTCTTGGAATAAAGACCGGTCACTGCTTTCTCTCCTCTTGAAAGTAACTGGCCTTATATCTGTGTGGCCCCCCCCCCCCCCTGTAGATTTCTGCAGGCATCCTGTAGTGTATGGATACTGGCCGTTATATTGGCCGCCGGCGTGTTCTGCGCATGCCCGCCGCCATCTTGGAGGCGGAGCATGTGACATCACACGCTGAACATGCGGTGGCCGAATCGTTCTCCCCATGCGCACCACCATTTTGGAGTAGATCTAGGTATACACCAAGATGGCAGCACTCGAACATGCGGGCACCGCCATCATGATGTATACCTAGATCTACTCCAAAATAGTGGTGCGCTTGCGCAGAACGCACCAGCAGCCATATGTTTTGTCTGAAAACAATTTTTTTTGTTTTGCACATGTCTAGTGTTATACATAAATAAATCAGAGGACATGATTATAGAAGTGTGAGGAGCTGCTCTTCCTTGTTCCTGAGATCAGCTCAGCTGAATCTAGTGCAATTATCCTACCTACCTTCTCTTTGCCCTCAGGATTAGGAAAGGGAGGACCAGGGGGCTACAATCTACCCTTTTTCATTTTCGGCGCTTATTTGATGCCACATCGCAGCATTTCGTCTCACGACCTACCCACCAAGGTACACTGGAGTCGCATGATACAGCTCCCCGCTCACTGGAAGCATTTAGTGGACCTCCTCATTTGTGGTGTTCAGACCGGACACAAACACCAATCTTGTCCAGACAATTCCCTGTGATGAAACGCGTACATAGACGGGCGCTAGGTTTGCCACCTTTTCTTCAAGCAAAACCAGAACACTCTAGGGACGCGCGGACATTTTTTGGGGAGAATGAGTCGCGGCTTATTCATATGTAAAAAGTGCCACCCATTCATATGTAAATATCACAGTTTTTAGTGGGGGCCAGTAGCCCCTATCTTCATTTTGGTTGCCCCTGTCTGCCTGACATCTTGTGTCCAGGTTTCTGCTGCCATGAAACCTGGACACAGCATTCAAAACCCGGACTGTCCGGGTGCATCCTGGACAGGTGGCAACCCTAGCGGGCGCATACTGAGGTCATCATGTCGAGGAATAGTGTGGAGAGAGTCTCAGAGCATACTAACGGCAATTGCTTTTTTGGCCATGTCAATCTTATTCTTTTAATAAAGTACGGTTTTAACATACTATGCAATGAGATGCTCTATCTGTTTTCTTTGAGTATATTGGGGAAACTGATCAAGATATCCTGAATTGTTACTGGCATTATCAAAGGAAGTTTTACCTGGGATTGATGTCTGATTCTATCTACTGAAGTGAAATGAGATAGAGAGAAATTCAAGAGGTTTAAATTGCAACAAAAAAGTACTGACTAGAAAAGCAGCAAAGTCCACATAGCAGGGACAACAACCTGGCCTATATTTCCTATACTTACAGAGCACACAATTTAGAACAGTTCTAATATGTCCTTGCCCCAACAACGCTTGTACTCTAATGTCCTTGGTTAAAAGCAATTAACTACGTATATTTTTGATTAGTAGAGGAAATGAGAGTAACTGAACAGAATACTGTATATGCATTAAAAAAAAATCAAACTAATCCTGCTAGAAATGGATCTCAAATCCTAGTGTTACAAGACTTAAAGTGACATTAAACCCTCAGATTTTTTTACATAAAAGAATACTGTAATGTGTGCCTTACTGTAATCCATGGTTGTTTCCCTTCTCTTTGCTGCTCTTCCTTTTAAATCTGTATCTATTCTCATGCTGGGCAGAACTTCTGTTTTGCAGCAGACTGCCTTGTCTCTGGAATGGATACATGGTGTCTGTGTATACGTTTGTAACCTGAGACAGCACTACAGGAAGAGGCACTCAGCTGCAAAGGGAAGTTCTCCCTTTGCAGCTGCAAACACACACATATAAATACACACTCAAACTGCACCAAAATAAATTGGTTATACACCTGCCAAAAATTGTAACACTCACCCGTTTTTCTACAGCAATGAAGCTTGTAAACTGAGTCACAATTGAATGCTCTTTGCTTAGCTTGATGATGAAGGATTTCATCTTCTGTTTTTCCATCTGCATGTGGTCAAGGAATACAAAATTAAGCGCCAATCAGTATCATGAAAATAAAATTATATTCACCTGGTCTTTGGTTTGTCAACACAAAGAAAGATAAAAAAAAGACAAACATTTTTTTTGCTGCACACTAACCATACAAACCAGTTACCTGATTGATTTCTAAAGTTTCTCTCCTTTCCCTTTAGTGTACGTACAGATGTGGCTGTTGTGCCTGTCCATGTGAATAACCCAGGATAGGTGCTCGTCCCTGGACACAGACAGATTGCTTCCAGAGACAAGCATCTATCCTGAACCGCAGGTAATTGTTTAATGTATGATTACATGTGGACAGCCATGGACAGATGCACATCTGTACATTTGCATGGACCCACCTGCACAAATACTCAGCTGCAGTGAATAGTCCCATGTGCATGAGACCAAAGGAAGTCACAGCCATTCATTATTGCATCGGGAGATTTATTAATTTGTTTAAAGAAGAATTCCAAGCAAAAGTTTTATTCACCCTTACAGTGAGCCGGTTGGCTCTGACAGCGCTCCCTCCTGCCCGTTTCCCCATATGCTCAAGCCATGGCATGTCTGTCGGCATTCTCATGTCCTATACACTGTGTATAGAACGCGATGACTCAGGGACCTTAGACTTCTGCAGCGGAAGGGGAGCGAGGCAGAAAGGACCAGTCTAAGAGCAAGCTGGTTTAGAGGATCAGGTGAGTATAACTTTTTTGTGTTCCTCCCAAGACCAAAATTAGCAGTCAACCTTTGCAATTCAGGGGTAGCCCCACTGCAAAGGTATTACAACTTTTGCCCAGAGTTCTTCTTTAAAAATGTAAGCTTGTTCTAATCTTTTACCTTTCTATGTAGAAGAGTGATGAAAAGTAAAGTGTGTGTGCTGCTGTCACTGATTTGTGTAAGGGTGGGCAGATATCTCCATCATCTACAGCCATTCTAAGACAAACAGATATGTATATGTCCCTACTTTATATGTAAGAAAAAGGGTTCATTTTTAAATATGCATACTTTTTCTCCCAAGCCTGTGCTTATGTTTGTGTAGTACTAATTTTTGGAGCAGTGACTAATACATATCCTGCAAGTACTAAAGCTAATCTCCAGGAAGATATAAAACAATGCAAATGTATGCACCTGTTTATTCATAAATATAGCATTTCCCGTATTTATTTATATGAAAGCAATCCCATGTACTGCAGAGTTCAGACTGGGTGAAGGAGAAGCAGCAAAAGGAGCCATTCAGTTGTGCTGCCAAGCAAATATGCTAACAGAGGGCTTGCTGGGAGAAGGAGATAGGGGGAAGGGGAACTAAAAAGACTGCAGGTCTCCTACCCCTGCCATTGAGAGCTGTGTCGTGTGAGGGATTTGTGTAAATATCAGACATGAAAGGAAAGAAATACAAATCCTTTTGCAGCCAAAGCTGAACTAAAGGACAGAGAAGGGAAAAAATAACCTTTGTACATATAGTCATCATTTCCCTATATAGTGTCTGAATTTATATCTGCTGGCCATATCAGCAGATTAGATGTAAATTAACTTAAACTGACAAATAAACATGATGCAAAACAGTCCATACAAGCTATTTCTTTTACTTCTCTGTGGTACCATGTTCAATAGTGACTTAATCATCATTCTGTGTCTATATAATGACCCCACCATCATAACCCACTCACCTCATTTTCATGTTCTTTCTCATTCAAAATCCCTTCTTCATAGTCTTGGATGAAAGCCCGAGCTGTGAGCTTGTGAAGTATCTAAATACAAAGAAATAATACTTATACAGTAGCTGTAATTTAAATTGGAAATTATATTTAAACATGAAAAGAATAGAGGTGTTTGCTTTTATTCTTTAACCAGAGTGAAATATAAAATCAGAATGGCTGCTATGGACAGCATCTAGCAATGAATATGAAGTATTGCTGCAAACCTCAGGTGTGGAAAGACTGTTGTACTAATTTAACAATTACAGGAACTTGCACTTACATATCCATAAATAAAGGGTAAAGAAGAATTATGGGGAGAGTGAAATGCACTCATCTCTCAGAGCTGACATGTGACACTAATGCAGTCACATGTCGGCTCTATAGATCCAGAACTGAGCGATCACATACCGCTGATCTCTCAGTTCCAGTTTCCTCTCCCTGCAGAGAGCAGTCAGTCACCGCTCGCCGCAGGGATTCCCCCCTCTCCATTCCTCCAGCGCTGAGTGGAGGCACAGACGGGGGAGAGAGGCAGAGCCAGCTGTCAATCAGGTAGCGGGTTGAATCGTGACAATATTGTCAGGATCTTTCCCGAGCACATGAGCTGTCTGCCCTGTCAGCATATAGCGGACAATAGTCTGCTATATGCTGAGTTTTGGATCACAGGAGGACAATAGTAAAATGTCCTCCTTGACCCCAAAAGTGAACTATGGCCAAAAAAGGCCTAGTTCTCTTAAGAATTAGTGACTCTTGCTTTTAAAAGGTGTGATTTAGTCACCTTTGTGTGTGATGAGTGTATATTGTGCATGATAAAAAAAAACTATTGGTGCCAAATATTTATGCTATGACATTTTTGGTACCACAGTTCCTACCCAGTATTATTAAAAATTATTTTTTTATTAAAATAAATCACTTCTTCATATAATGCTTTTAAATTTCAGTTATAGATTATCTGTAACATACTGTTCCAGTGGTCTTCTGAAGTTCAGTGGTTGAAACCATGTTCTTAAATTCTTTATTGTTGATTAAAGCCTTCAGTGTGGCCTAAAATTGAACACAATGTAATTGTAATTGGCAACTATGTAAATATCAGCAATAAATAAATGTTTAAGAAAGAAGGAGAAAAACATCCTATTACCTAGTTACTATCTAGTAAAATATCAACGATATAGCTGTATGGGGTCTGCTATTGCAGACCTTATTCTTAAAAGGAGAACTATGAGGTGAGTGATTTTCACTCAACCTCATAGTTCGTGCCGACGTGTGACAATGAAACTGTCACACGTCGGCTCAATAGATCGGGAAGTGAGCGAACGCATACCGTCACTCGCTCACTTCTCGATCATGTCCCTACAGAGAGCCGTGACTGTCACTCACGGCTCTCTGCAGGGATTCCCCCCTCCCCTGTCCGATCCTCCAGCGCTGACTGGCGGAATAGACGGGGGAGGGGGCGTGTACAGCTGGCTCTGCCTCTAGATAGGCAGAGCCAGCTGTCACTCACGCAGCAGGGTGGATCTCGACAGTAATGTCGCAATCCGTCCTGGCTCCGGCGGTCTCATTATACTGCGAACTGTAGCTGGGAGTAGGGCACAGCAAGCAGTGGGTGCAATAGCCAGCCGGCTATTGCAATTTGAAATAGCCAATAGCAGGCTGGCTGCAATAGCAATACCCACCCACTACCTGCTGTATTTACATTCAGCTTCCGCCTGCGGAATCTTGCCACTGCCAGCTGTCATTCCCTGGCTGAGACTATTCAAGTGCCATGTGCTTACAATTTACAGGTACCAATGTCTCCAACCATAATCCATTTCACATATCATTAACACGTATAGAAGCTATCAATACTATCCTGCTAAAAACCCATATTTATTAAGGATACTCCTGAAAAAACTAATATAAAAACCAAATAGAAATAGAAAAAAATCATACATTATCCTTAAAAAAACTTTATCAAAGACTATTGAGAGGAATCGGAATGGATAAATATAACAAAAAAAGAAAAAGGAATTGAATTATGGTGCATTACAATATGCATGTTGTGTTGCATGTTGCTGTGTGTTGTGTTAAGGCAGCCCATTTATTTTGTATGGGCTGCCAATGCAATACAAAACAGCCAGAAATGGACATGACCCCCTTTTGTTTTGTTTTTTTAAACACAGCACACCATATGCACTGTAGTGCATATGAGTGGCGGAGGATTGTCAGCAACTGTATGAGTGCATTGGGGTATCACTCAAAATGTACATTGCTGCAACACAAAGGTGTAAATGGACACTAAAATGAATACAATAATTCTCCCCCCCCCCCCCCCCCCATTACACTGTTGTGTTCTTTCTTTCTAAAATCTCTTTCAAATAGAGAGGGCTAATCTACCTAATGGGATCACAGACGGCGACAGGTTCTAACCCTTTATAACTTTCAGATCTTTACATGTATTTAAATCTCAACTCATCTCATCTCTCAAAATCCAGCATGGCTCGGTCTCCTGCACTTCCCTATTTATCAATGCAGCTGCCCATCACATTAAAAGACCAATAAATGGGAATGGAATGGGGTGGAGCCAAATTCAACTTTAAAAGCAATAGCCAAGATGTGCATAACATTTCAGCTACCTATATCTCTGATCTACTCACTGTTTTGACAAGCAACATTTACTGAAGGAAACCAACCACTGTTTATGGACGTGTTCAGGTTTAGTTGTTACCAAATTACTTTTAATGAAACATAAAATGCTTACCTTAGTGCAATGAGGGACAAATCCATAAACAATAATTCTGTCATCGTCAAATAGAGTCTGAATGTTGGTGGGTGCTTGCATGGGTTCAGCAGGATTTCTACCAAACAGACTCCACTTAATGGAGACAGCTGTACATGCAGCAGATTTCAGCCTTGAATCGTGTTTGTCCATCTGTGACAACACAATAGACAGTTAGGGTAGGAGCACATAAGGTACAATTCACAAAACTTCAGAACAAGGATTGCCATTATGTCAGAAAGTGCACTTAATTTACCTTGAGTTGACTTTGGAGTTACACTTAAAAGGACTCTGCCATTGCTGACTTCTACCTTCAAAAATATCAGTTCTGTGACTGGCATGGTAATGTTTTGTTTTCAATGATTTTTGAGTCATTCAAGTGAAAAAGTACTGAGAGATAAGGAATTCTGGCACTCTTTTTTTCATCATGCTTTTTCTGTGTCCAAAACTCAAAAGCAATCAAAAACAGACACAGCCAACAAACTATCATTGCCTGCAAGAGGACAGCAGTAGGAGCCCTTGTACTTCCCTTGTTCCTTTTATAATTTTAAAGTACAATTCACTTCTGGCCTACCTTGTGCCATACCCTCACCCCCATCCCACATTTGTGCAGCTTGGACATCATAGACCTCAATGGAAAGCCAATAGACAGCTAACTTGATTGCGAACAGGTTTTCCATTAAATGGAATTTGTTCCATACACACGGACAAGGAGGGTCAAAATGAAGGAAAGAGTATCAGTGTATTACTTTTAAAGATTGTCCAGCACATGGGAATGCACATTCCCATGCACTCTCTTTTAGTCATAACTATATGTCTGAGGCTGCTGTGGGCTGCATTGTGTGCCACTTACTCTCAACACGGCAGGTGCATTGTGTGGCACATGTAGGGCTAGAATGCATTACATGCATGTAACTGCAGGAAACTGCACTGCAGTGAAGTGTGCACAAATACATATGTATAATTGCTAAGACCAGGGTATTACTAATAGCTATGGTTTTCAGGGGTTGTTTTTCTTTGCCATTTGTGTCTCATTTAAGCAAATTCACTTCACTTCCTGTCTCGTAGATACAACAGAAGTAAAAAGAATATTCCTACTTAAAAAAATGTAATCAAAAGATGCATCCCCATCAGAAAACCTGCTCTATTCAAAATATTAGAATTCCTTTTTACATTCTGTCCCTGCTGCTCTGACCAATATTATTAAAAACTAGGGATGCACTGATACCGGTTTTCCAGTATCGAGTACCGATATTTATCTTTTGGTACCAGTTTTGGTACCAAAACTGAATACCGATACGTGTACCTGCGGGAGCATGGAACCCAGAAGTTCCCGCCGCCAGGAAGCCAGCATGCTGTTTGGCCACCTTAATGCTGATTGGCCGGGAAGCCAGCTTCCGTCCAGTCAGGAAGCTGGAAGGCAGGTCATTCCCCACTGCCCGGCTGTCAGGAATCAGATCTGAACCCAGGGCTTCTGCTGTAGCCTGCAGTGGGTCCCTTGAACTTCCTATTTAAAGGAGAACTATGACATGAGTGATTTCCACTCATGTCATAGTTCTAAGCCGACCTGTGACAATGAGACTGTCACAGGTCGGCTCAGTAGAACGGGAGGTGAGGGAACACATACCGGATTCCCTCACCTCTCGATCCTGTCACGGCTCTCTGCCGTGACAGGGGGAGGGGCTGCATTCCCCTCTCACCGATCCGATCTGCCAGCGCTGACTGGCGGAACGGACGGGGGAGGGGGCGGGTACAGCTGGCTCTGGCTCTAGATAGGCAGAGCCAGCTGTCACTCACGCAGCTGGGCGGATCCCGTCAAAAGAGTCGTGATCGGTCCCGGCTGCGGCGTCTCAGTATACCGCGAGCTGTAGCTTGCGGTATACTGAGCTTAGGGTAACGGGAGGACACTAGTTTGTGTCCCCCCGTTACCCTTTGGAGAACTATGGGGAAAAACACTGACCCCATAGTTCTCCTTTAAGACATGCCTCTGCACTTCCTGTTTGCCAGATTATTGTGCTCCTGCCAATATCTTGCTTCCTGCTCCTTCTGTGATACAATCCGCCCATACTGCTACCCGTGTACCGACCTTTGGCTGCTGATTCACAGACTACTCTCATTGTCTTCTGTTTCATATCTGATACCTTTGACTACCAACCTCGGCTTGATCTCTGACTACGCTTCTGCCTGCTCCTCTACTACTACCGTCTGCTTGTGTACCGAACCCGGCCTGTTTGACTACGACTTTGCCTGCTATTTCAGCTACTGGACTCCGAGCCTGATCCAGATTGTGACACCGGCTTCCTGATTGGTCGGGAGGCCGGCTCCATGCTGATTGGCTGGAAATCCGGCTTCCTGGCCAATCAGCATTGAGCCGGCCAAACAGCAAGGAGCCGGCTTCCCGGCCAATCAGGAAGCCGTCGCCCAGCTTATGGTTTGGCCGGGAGGACGGCTCCATGTTCCCTCACAGCACTCCTAGTCAGAGGAAATCTCTCTCTGACCGGAAGTTCCTGTATCTGGGGTAAGCATTGGAGCATTTGGGTGAGTACGAGTACTTGCCCAAATACTCGGTATCGGCACATCCCTATTAAAAACCATAAAAACTTCCACTTAGCAATTCCCCCAGAGGATACTGTATGAAATGAAACCTGAAATCACCTGGCTTCTCCAGCTGCTCTTCGATTTGTCTGCAAAATATTCAAATGCTCCAGCACCATTTTTTGCCAAGCACCTCAGCATATGTTTATTTGCTTTTGCCCTGGAATAAAACACAACAAATAGGATTAACTGTAAAAATCTTAGGCCTCATGCACACGGCAATTAAATACATACCTCCATGTGCATTTGGAGCTAATCTCTAAATGGATCTAAAAGAATTTACTGCTTTGCTATAGCTGAATGCACACCCAGGCATTTATCAGCATCTAGTTGCATTCAGTCCAGATGTGTTTACACAAACAAGAATTTTTGGCATCCTGGCACTGTTTACCCTGGTTTTATATGACTAAACACGCCTAAACGCATGTAATTGTGTATACATGCAGCTAAACACAGCAACATCTAAACACAGAAAAAAGTAATCTGGGAATCATAAAAACTGTTTATACTTCCATAGATAGTGTTTGCTCTCGCTCTCCTCTCTGACACGCTGTCACAGAAGGCTGAGTGAGCGGTGCAGGGAGGAGAGCTCCGCCTCCTGTGACAGCGTGGACTGTCTCCGCCCCCACACCACTCTGCCGGACTGTGATAGGCGGCTGAGCGGTGTGGGAGGAGAGACACCGGTCGCTCACGACGGTCTCCTCCCGCAGCGCTCGGCCGGCTGTCACTTTCTCTCCTCCCCGCTGGGACAAAGAGCATCGCCCAGCGGGCAGGAAATAAATCACGGCTGCGCCGACAAAACGGCAGGAAAATGGCACTTTCGGCATTTAGCCAAAAGTGCAATTTTTGGCCAGCGCCCCTCTTCAGCTTTACGCCCGGGGCCAGCGCCCCGGCTGCCCCCCGGTTGTTACACCACTGCAGTACACACACAGTACACGTACAACAGATAACACATACAGTACACATAACACACACACACACAGTACACACAGCACACATACACACATACAACACATATTACACACAGTACACATACAACACATAATACACACAAGCGCACGTGTGCTCGGTGTCCAGGAGTGGTTTAGGTGTGTCTGCTGGCAGCCCCGCCACCTTTATGTCAGATTATCAGTGAGAGTCTGCAGCTAGGTGAGGCGGGGAGAGGGAGGCTGTGAGGAGCTGCAACAACTAATCAACTGTCCAACTAAATCGATAATGAAAATCTCTGACAACAATATTCATTATCAATTATTATCGACTTAGTCGATTCGTTGTTGCAGCCCTACATTAGACATAACCTTACATATTTATACAAATGTCAGGCATGGGAAAGATCTTTTGACACTGGGTTAGTTTCCCATCCTTCAACCCCTTTCAAAGGTCTCTGTGTTGTTAATAGATTCAGTGGCTAATACTTACCCTACACCACAGGTGAACAATTTAATATGATTTTTATTTTTCTTTAGGATCTGGAAGACAAGGTTATCATTTTGGAGGTGCCCATCAGAGATGAGGAGGATTTTATGATGACCAGAGGAGGGTCTCAAAAGACAGGTGGACTGTAGGGGCTTCCAGAACTCTGTACTTCCCATATTGGGTTTGGCCATCTAGGAAAGGATCACAAATATATGAAATTAGAATTACGTCAAAGGGAAGGCAGTGCTTTTCTATACAAACACAACATGTTTTGCCCATATTCATGTCTTGTGATCTAAACTTTAAATTAATTTTAAACTAATTCATATTAACCTTTGCATATGTTAACACTGAACGCCAGGCAGGTATAAAACACAGACTAATGCCATTTATATTAATTAACCATTTCAGGACTGCAATACATATATAAAAGACACGGACTGAAGTGGTTATACCAAGATCGCAGCTGCTGCTGCAGGCATGATCTTGGTACTGTTCTTTTCAGCCAGTGCCCCGCTTTTACATACAAATGATCAGGCAGCTGTATAGCTGCCTGATCATTTATATGCAGCTGAGTGTGCGACCCCACCTTTCACCACTGCTGCTGGCTATTCGGGGCTCTGTTGTTCCAGTACTGGCACAGCGGGTGTCAGTGGCTGGATCGGTGGTAGATCTCCACACTTCCAGTTTCTGATCTCCCGTCCAGTCACTTAACCTGGAAGCGACCAATGATTTGGTAACTTTTGGTCTCATGCTGTCATTTCTCTGGCTGCTGTGACTGGAAAAGTAGCTGATAAAGCATGTTCATAGGGGATAGTAGGAGTCTAATAGACCTCTGATGTCTCCAAAAAGCGAACCTGTCCCTTCCTCAATTCTATCACACAGGGGACCTGTTAAATATATCATTCTTTGGGGGTTTAAAGCAGATTGGGCACCAGGGCCTTAGGGTGATGTCAACATTACATGACATGATCTTGCAAGTGCTCAGCAGTTTAACCTGAGTGACACCAAATGCATGATTCTCTCCACCCCTCTTTTTCTCTAGGACAAATCTTTGGTTTAGTACTATTTATTTATTACAAGTATACATATAGCACCAACAATTTACACAGTGCACTACATAGTGCACAATCACATCAGTCCCTGCCCTCAAGGAGCTTACAATCTAAGGTCCCCATCTCACATGCATACATACAAGGGCTGATTTAGACAGGAGCCAATTAACCTACCAGCAGGGCTCTGAGAGGAAACCAGAGTACCCGTGGGAAACCCACGCAGGCACAGGGAGAACATTCAAACTCCTTGCAGGTAGTGGCCTGGCTGGGATTTAAACCAGGGACCCCCCAGTGCTGCAAGGCAGAAGCGCTAACCACAACACCACTGTGCTGCCCATTGTATTACATAGGGATGCACCGATACACATACTAGTATCGGTGCATGGAAAGTAGCCATTGGTATTGTAAAGTAGCCACCATTCCAAGCTGGCTCCAGTGATGGACTATAATTTAGAAAACTAAACATGAGATTGTAGTCCATCATGGGAGTGAGCTTGGAGCCGTGGCTACTTTTCAACACACACAGGGACCATGGGGAACAAATGTAGCCACCCTACAGAAGGAAGGACAGTGTCAGCACCAATTCAGAGATGATTTGAGGATCTACAGCTGAGTGAGACACAAATAAGTTACATTATGGTTAATAGTTAAAGTACTTGAATATATTTTTAAGAAAAATAAAAAAACAAATATTGAAGTGAAAACCAGGCAGCTTTTCCAACTATGGTATTTCTGTGTTGTTTGTAAACCATGTGATCAATGTTCTCCTACTTGCGTTCACTTTTCAGGAATAGCAAAATTTAGGTCATAACGGCCAATAAGCATGTGCACTGAACAATTACTGAAGCAATGCACTGTGACACTTTGTTTTAGATTGAACACACAGGCATAGCAAGGCTAACCACTCCAACCCCCCCCCCCCTTCCCCCTTTTACTTCTTTTTCACTCCTCCTAGCTAGTAGATGGACAATGGTTCTTGTACTGGACAGGAAGTTCAGGCAGGCCCGTCTTTAACGCAGGGCAGAAGGGGCAGTTGGCCTGGGCCCAGTCATTGTTATGGGGTCCAAAACAGCCACCCCTTGAGCCTGCACTGCTCGCTGCCTACCTGGAGATGCGGGATGTCAGTGTCTCGTCCCTTCTTCCCTCCTCATGCTCCTGGTTTCCCTTATCTTTTCAGAGATAAGACAGACAGCAGAGATTGGCAGATTGGGACCTTTGTCTGCTCTGTCTATGACAGGCTCATTGACAGACTCTGATCCCCTTGCAGACAGAAAGCAGAAATCAGGAGAGCGGGACCTTTTTTTTGTGATCAGCCCCGTGTCTGCCAAGCAACTGATGACGCAGATGGGCGGGCTGGTGTTCTGTCAGTCGAATTTGCCGACCTCACCATATGCGCTTGCGCACACACCGGGATGAACGAGGAAACAGGCATTTATTTACAAAGTTTTAATTTCCAATTGTTAATTGTGACCGTTCATAATATGCCATCCATGGCTGTAAATGATGGATGGCATTTTATGCACATTCACAATTAATATCCTAAGCAATTACATAGTAATGTAATTGCTTAGGATGTTAATTGTGAATGTGCATAAAATATCATCCATCATTTACTGGTTCAGATAGCACATTATCAACGGTCACAATTAACAATTAGAAATGAATACTTCATAAATAAATCCCTGTTTCCTTGTCAATGCTGCCTGTGCGCAAGCACAGATGGTGAGGTAGGCAAATTCGACTGGGTCGGCATTCTCGACAGAACACCGGCTGGTCTGGGTATGTATGATAGGCTCTGATCCCTGTGCATTGCAGACAGAGCCACAGTGCCTTGCTCCTCCCAAACTCCTGTATTACTCAGGGGATACCTTTGCAAGTGACAGAGCAGGTGTTCTATCATGTGACTACGTTGGAATGTGTTACCAGTGACGTGGTCACACATTACAACGTAATCCAGTTCAGTTTGACAGTGGTGGAATGTATGACCGCCCATTAGGTCAAGCATTCCAAGGCTTTGTCGGCTGTTCCAGGGCAGATCCTCTCACTGCGCAAGTGCAGGAGAAAACGATTGTCTGCCTGGGGCAGCTGATCGGTCTGAAATGTCACTTCTATCAGACTTTGTGAGTGCCGCAGAGGGGGTGATTCACAAACAGTAACTGAAGGAGTGTTACAATCAGCCAGCACCGCAGATATATTTTTTATATATCTGCAGCACTGGCTGATTGTAACACTTTATCAGTTACTGGACCAATCATTAAAAAAAAAAAAATACATTGATTTGGGGTGTTGGGGTGGAGAGAGAAACTGCATGGCAGGTAGGGGACGTGGCTTGGTGGGTAGGGGCCCAAGAAAATGTTTGCCCAGGGTCCAATCAATATTAAAGACAGCCCTGAGTTCAGCGAAGTGCAGCTCAGAGAGTTGGAGCCAGCTTCCTGGAAATATGATGACTGCAAGCGTTTGGGCAAGCATTTAAAGAAATACTATGCTGGGCAATGTATACATGTTTATCTAGAGTCATTATTGAAAAAAAATAGAGTTTAATACTGCTTTTAAAGTAAAATGATTTTGTAGGCCAGGAATGACTGAAAATAGGATTTAAAGTTACATTTTCGTGAAATAATATTACACTGAGTAAAATGCCTGCCCTATAAAGAACAACAAATCTAGCAAATGTCTAATCTCTTTAACCCTGACGGTCCCAGAGCATTTTTTTTCTGTGCTGTTTACACATGTTATAATCCACATTATAAGCCTAAAAATTGCTTAACCCTCTCCAGAACTAAATATTTCCTGAAAACGGAGACCTTGTAGAATAAAATGGTGGCAGTTGCAAATTTTTATGTTGCATAATATTATTGCAACACTTTATCAAGCCCAACATTTCAGTAAAAAATACACTTGTTACTTTTAGTGCACAAGAACACAAAATAATAATCATCTTTTTAATTATAAAGGATGAGATTGTGCTGAGTAAATAGATACCCAACATGCCAAGCTTAAAAATTGCATGCGCCCATGAAATGGTGAAAAAAACAGTACCCTAAATTGTCCATAGACAGCCCTTTAAAAGCCTGTGCAGGCCATCAATTTTGAGCTAACCATGAATGTGGTGCCTCCATTTACCAGATGCTGGAAGCGATCTGGTGGCTTTTTAGCCACCAGAATTGCTTCGAGTATAAAGCCGACTGTTGGCTTTACACAGTTAGAAATAAGTCATACGGCACTGGCAGCGAAAGGGTCAAAGCAAGAATTGTATTACCTTAATAAATGTTTCCATTTCCGACAAGTCATTGGTCTGCTTTGGATAGAGATAAAATTCTTTGTAAGCTGTGAGAAAGAAACATTAGAATATTTGTGCAAACAAATACAGAAGATGGATCAATCCTTTCTGCAAACATTAGAAAAACTCCTGCAGTTACTCCTGATATACAGAGCAGGACCCACCTGTCCATATGACAGCCAGGTCTCACTGATTATAACTCCAGAATGGGGAATTGCCAGAATTGCCATGAGTGCTGCGCACACCCTGGGAACTTACATAATGTTCAGTGCGTATGCCGTATGCCCAATTCCTTAACTGATTGAAATAGGACTGAACGTAAATGAATGACCCTGAACCCAACGTTATCTCCCAGCTTGTGTTTGTTAGTGTAAAATAATTCTGAACAGAAGTTATTATTTAAATGGTTTGCTACATCAGGGTCTCCCTCAATATAAGTGTTATACCCAGTTTTGATCTATGTTTAGTATTTTTGCTTGGTGTCACTGATATACCTAAAAAAAGGGGGAATGTCTATTTTTTTTACAGATTTAGCCATTTCCTCCTGTTTCTGTGCTTTAACAACACAGATATTATGTTTGGCCTCCTTTTTTTCTGTTTTACACACGTCTCTGTTTTTATACACGTCTCTATCAGCTACAGCTTTTTGTTTCTTTGTATTTTCTATAATAATGCTGATTATTTCATCCTTAACTAACGTACTTACTTCTGTAGTGAACCATGTTGTCTTTTCTTTGCGTTTACTCTTGCTAATACACCTATAATCTAGTTGCCTGGATGGTAGACTTTAATAGTGCCCACTGATTAATCGACCGCTATATCCTCTTTGTCTCCTGGATGTCTAAGGGCTTGGGGCAGAGACTCCAAAGGAATTATCTGCTTCTACTGTCTGCAACTGCTCTATTGACAGTAAACCCACATTCACACCATGGCGTTCTGGGAACATTCATCACTTTTGCGTGCCACGCGTCCCCATTGAGTGCAATGGGGTCCTAAGCGTGTGACAAACGCAAAAAGCGGAAGTAGCAAATGTTGTTTGCTGCTGAATGAAGCGTTTTTGGCTTCCACGTCTTCCTGCCAACGTTTGGGGTGTCACTAGAAATGAATGGCAACTTAAGCACGTTTTGCTTTTTGCAACATTTGTGTCAACATGTGCCACAGCATGTGGTTTTGTGCAAGTTTGGTGCATGTTCATGAATTGCGCAGGCGTAAATGTGTGGTAAGGCTTCTGCCAGGAGATGCAGTCAGTCAGGTTCTGTAAGGCTGGACCGATGGGTGTGTCAGCCTGTATTTTCACAAGCTGACTATGGGACTGGAGGATAGCTGTACATTTTGACAGGGTCCTGCTGTTCCCATTACAGGAGTTACAGTGCATGTCTGTCAATAATACTCTGGGTCTGAACTCATGGTTAGTGTTGACAGGATGCAACAGGAAGGAGGGCAATATAAGAAGACTGGCAGGATTATCAGGTATTTGGTTAACTGGCCAACACAAAATATAGAAAAATATGAATCATGGAGCTTAAAGCGACATTTAGAATTGATTGGAGTGAACATATTTCTTAGGTTTACATACACTTTATTGGATACGTTTATTGGAGTCTTTTTTATCCTTATTAACTGTTACCATACTGTATGTAACTACTGTACTGTATGTAACAACATAAACGGTAACATACACATACAACCTGTCTGAAAGTCTTTCCTATAATGATATATAGTTCACTTGTATCACTTTACTTACTTGATCCAAAAGTGACAATGTTGATTCCACTGACATACAGAGTTTTGAGGGCAAGCAGTGCAACCTGTTTAGCACTATGAAAACAGGATTCCATGGAATTGGAACAATCAAGAAAGATAGTTACTTTTGACATTTCGTATGACTCTTCAAACTGAGGCTGAAATATCAGCATGCATGCCTGCCAAAAACAAAAATGACATTCAACAGTCAGTGAAAAGAAGTTGTTGTTAACCAAATGGAAATAGAAATTAAATCAACAAATTGATGAAGCTCAACCATTAATCTGCAGGCGAACATAATCTGGAGACAGGGACAAATTGTTGTCACCCTATAAAAGAGTGTTCTTTATGGAAGGATCACTGGTTATTATTTTAATGATAGCTGCAGATTTGAAAACATAAAAAATTGCTTTTGAAATTAAGTTGGTAAAGCAAATATGAGATGTTAGTGATTGTGGTTAGTGATTTAGTGATAACGCAACCATATAATACTGAGGAGACAATGAGTAAGCTAACTATAGCTAGCTCAGGTAACTGTTTAAAAAAAAAATTGGGATATATTTCCAAATGCACAGAATATTACTGGATATTGAGCTCTTATTATATTAAGCACCAGAGATTGTTGATACAGAGAATGTCTGATTGCCTTATGGGATCAGGAAGGAATTGTTTCCCCTGTTGGAGCAAATTGAACCGTGCTTTATAGGGGTTTTTTTTTTGTCTTCCTCTGGACCAACAGTGGGTAACTGTGGGCATAGCGGGTTTTTTTTCTTTTTTTTTTTCTCTTATCTCTATAGGTTGAACTCGATGGACTTGTATCTTTTTTCAAACTGACTAACTACGTAAGGGCAAAAACATAGTAAACAGAAATACTGACACGTGTGTCTAGACATAGGTCTAGAAATAAACAAGAATATGGGGAAAAAAAGAGCAATGCATGTGGTTATGATATGGTAGGGGCATGGCATTATGATGCGTTAATATGGGAAGTCAATAGTAGTTAGTACCATTGAACTGTTGAAGATATTACACTGCTTTTGTAAGCAACTTCTTCAATTCTGGGTTAGGCACATTCCCCAGAATTTATAATCACCTTAATCCAGTCAGCATGGAGTATGTAGATTGTCTAAGAACATGATGAGAAGCGCAAACATTCTGGAGTGCTATTGTGATCCACAATAAATGTATTAGTGGCAGAACTTCACAGTGGTGTGTTGCCCAATTATATTTGTAAGTCCGGAAGGAAGGATGAGGGACTGGGCAGTGTGTTACCTACTATCCTGCTAATTTATAGGCAGCCTGGACGGTTGTTTTTAACCTTATCTGGTCATGGTATGACAGATGAGATACAGTCCAGTGCATAACACCTTGAACAATGTTGAACAATGCCCACCCCTATACTTTATCATGCTGATTAACAGCATGGCTTAAATATATCAAAACATGAGAATTTTCTGTTGAATTATGAAACAAAGCTCTTTTTAAAATCTGGTTTACAATTGCTTGGCTAGTCATGCTGAGAAGGAATGGTTAAGCACACACAGACTGAATTTTTTATTTTCTTTCAATTCTTCCACATGTTTCTGGCATTGGGACTATTTTTTTACACTTTTAGTATGTGTGCTATGTAGCCTTTTAAGATATAAAAAGTTTCCTTCCCGAAATGACTGTTAATGTAAAAAACATAAAAATGAGATATTCTAGTTGAAATATGTCATGTTTTGTACCCCAAAGAGAAAAACGTCAGAATCCTTTACAGGAGATGGAATGTTTTACCTCACTGTTTTGGTCTGGATGTGTTTCAACCCACATTCTCGGGATATAAGCATCTTCAAGACGTATGTTTAAACAAAAACCTTCATCAATCAGGGAACTGCCTTCTTCCACCTTGATCACAGCTTTGCACTCTGTTTGCTAGAAAGAGTAAAAATTGAATCAGTGATCCTTGCATCATGTATTTGATTTAGAAATAAACTCATGGCATATAGGCATCTTTTTTCGGACCATGATAGGTGGGGTTTTCAAGATTGCAAACAGGTGTATATAATACCCTACTGTGTCTCTTCATAATTGAAAGTTCTATATAATGCAGAATATAGAATTTAATGCTGGTCACTGATGCTTAGGCTAAGTTCACATGCTAAAAGGTGACACTTGACAGAAGCCACCAGAACACACTTTCTGTGCTTGCAGTGTTCAGACCATACTAAGCATTCACTCCAACGGCTTCAGGCTGTTTGGGGAATAAGAGCAGTGAGGCCTGAATACAAGTTAAAAAATTCAGTATCTGTGTGAACAAAGTCTAACAGGATTATTCACAAAAGGGTGAAGAGTTTGGAGAAGGCAGGACAAGTGGACAATCTAGGACAACATACCGTATTTTTCGCTCCATAAGACGCACTTTTTTCCCCCCAAAAGGAGGGGGAAAATGTGCCTGCGTCTTATGGAGCGAATCCCGACGCCCGAGACATGCAGTTTCGGGCGCCGGGCGAGTAGTAGGAGCCACTGCTCGTTTAATACGAGTGATCTAATGAGATCACTCTTATTAAAGCCGAGCAGCGGCGGCGGCGATCGTATTCAGCAGTAGGAGCTACTGCTCGTTTAATACGAGTGATCTAATTAGATCACTCGTATTAAAACCGAGCAGCGGCGACGATGGAGATCACCATAGAGCAGACGAAGAACGGACTTTCTTCGTCTGCTCTGTGTGATCACTGAGACCGTGGCGCTGTAATCACAGCGCCACCTGTCTCAGCAGTCACTAACTGCAGCTTCTGTCACAGCTTCTGTCATAGAAGCTGTGTCAGAAGCTACAGTCTGTCGGGTGCTCCATAACGCGCGCCGGACCTCCCTGCATCCTATGGTCCGGTGCGTCTTATGGACCGCAAAATACGGTAGCTGAATTGGAGAATTGTTCCAAATCGGCTATGTTGTACAAGATTGTTCCCTTCTCCTAACTTGTCTCCCTTTTTTGAATAACCCCGTGTGTTTCCCTGTATTATGCATCCTTCATATATGTTGGTGGATGAGTAACTCAGGCAAAGGTAATATATCCTCTATTCACTCTGATAGCATTGCAAAAAAAAAAAAAAAAGGAATTCTATGTGATGACAGATCTTTTAACATGGTACTGAAGTCTTTGGAATGGGGAAATAGACAGGAGTCCTGAGTTTAGGAATAAGCCAGCCTAAAAGCCTAATTGTGTACACAGATGCTCAGTTTCCCTTTATAGCCTAGGAAAAATGTTATGTTTAACAATTTAAAAAAAAAAAGTATTTCAAAGGGTGCACACTGTGCGTTTGTGAAAGTATATGAGGTTCATGAACGTATAGGCTAATTCAAAGGGTGCACACTGTGTGTTTGTGAAATTATATGAGGATCATGAATGTATGGGCTAATTCAAAGGGTGCACACTGTGTGTTTGTGAAAGTATAGGAGGTTCATGAATGTATGGCCTATTTCAAAGGTTGCAGTACTGTGTGTGTGTTTTTAAAGAATATAGCGTAAGTCGTGAACCTATGACCTACCTTTTTTTTGATGCTGTGTGTATAACTCCACATATCTTCGATTTTTCGAGGCATCTCAACTGACACGTCAAGGTGAAAATTGCTAAATGAGAAAAGAAAGATCAGCTAGAGGGTTGGATAGTTGAATAATTGAGCAAAGTTTGCTGTTGAAACCCTATAAGGTCATAAGCAGCTATTTTCTACCAAAAGCAATGTTAAAACTTCCCCCCGGTGACATTTATCCCATGACCAGTAAAATACAAACAATATATCTTGCGCTGGTTGCCCTGAGTGGTGATGCTCCCCATGCAGATCTCAGTCTGAGTATGACCCGCAGTTAGTGATAACTACTGGGAATTATATAGTTGTTGCGTCTTGTGCAAACCTGTCACTGTCGCTTTGATGAACAATCCCTGTGCGGACCTGAAACGTTAGCACTGTATGACAGTATGTGACATTGGGTATTGACCTTTAAGTGTGTACTGGTGAATTACTTTTATTTACTATTAGTGTTTTGCACGGTGCTATCCGTGTGGTCACCTGGACACCACATATACCTTGTGGTTTTGAGACTGTGGCAGTGCAAATGGGATTTAGACTTTGTTGTGCAGACCTGAGATCACATTGCCTGGCATCTACTTCCTTTGCAGTTCTAAAATGTTATGGGACCGAATGTTAAAAGCTGCAAGAGAAGTAAATGCTGGAAGAATACAAAATAACGATGATGACGATGATCATGGCATGATATTATATTAAGTTTTTTATTTGGCGAGTCCATTTACAGAGCAGCAGTCATGTTGCTCAACTCCTAAAACACTTCCTTCTTTACAGTTTATCCTTTATAACTCCCCTTCCCGTAGCATATATATGAGAAAAGGTGTGTTAATAAATCAGTTTCTTTAACCTCCCTGGCGGTATTCCCGAGTGTGGCTTGGGGTTAATTTTCTGTACCATAAGCGGTAACCCCGAGCCAGACTCGGGAATACAGCGCCGCGTCTCTTACCTTGTCCACGATCCCCGCTGTGTCCTCCGGCCGATGCCGGCATCCGTCTTCCGGGTTCTGTCCCTTGCGAGCATCCGCGTCGCAGGGGGGATGCGGAACCGGCGGGAAGTTTAAAAGTTACAAAATAAAACGAAAGACAGGTAGAGCAAAAAAGGAAAGAAAAAAAAATAATCATACCACCAGGGAGGTTAAACCTCATCCAGACCCATGGACAAAAATGTATTCCCCGGTATTTTGGAGATGTGGAGAGGGGAAAGGGGAAAGTGTTCTGTAGTCCTGTCCTAAGATGATAACATTGCTCCTCCATATATACAGCACAGTGAGTAAGTGTTTTCACCCAGGCATAGGAAGATGTGAAAAAGTGTGTCACAATAAACCATATGAGAAGATACAAAGTCACCAGCACTCCAAATAAATGTTTCACATATTAATTGTGAAAACAGCATCACAAAGTCATAAGGAATTGACATTTCAGGGCCTTCCAGGGTCTCTCCTTTAAGATGACATAGCTACATCACTATGCCACCTTGAAGAAGGGACCATACGAAGCCCTGAAAGGTTGTTTTCTTAATCAATACATGAAACACATTTATTTGGAGTGTGAGTTATGTTGTATTTGTTTATCTGGTTTTTGCACAGCACCATCCATTGCACTCACTTTGAGCACCCACTGATTATTCAAAGATCATGTATCGGTTAATGGCACCTTTTCAGACTGCGCTGAGGTCATGAGTGGTGTGCCTCAGGGTTCTGTGCTGGGCCCCATGCTTTTCAACCTGTTTATTAATGATATCGGGGAGGGGGTGAATAGCCATGTTTCAGTGTTTGCTGATGATACCATAATTGGGAGGGTAACAGACACGGACTTAGACATTATGACATTACAGGAGGACCTGGATAAAATAGGGGAGTGGGCAACTGTATGGCAGATGAAGTTCAATGATGATAAATGCAAAGTAATGCATTTTGGAGTTACAAATAGGCAATTGGGCTATACAATTATGGGTATGCCACTAGGGAAGTCAGTAATGGAGAAAGATTTGGGAGTCATTGTAGACCACAGATTGAAGAATAGCTCGCAGTGCTAGGCTGCTGTAAACAAAGCAAGTAGAGTCCTGTCTTGTATTAAGAAGAGGATGTTCTGCAGGGACAGGTCTATAATTTTGCCACTTTACAGATCCCTAGTGTGACGGACCCCCGTACTCAGGATGAGTATGTCCGCCGCTGTCTTCTTCCTTGCTGAGGAGATATTGGAACCCGCTGATCTGTAGCTCCCAGTTTCCCCAGTCACTAGCCAAGGCTTGAGTGAAGGGTAAACAAACTCTGCTTTATTGAGCAACTGCACAAACTTATATACAGCAAGTGATGAAATCAGAATATAATCCCATCACATCCCCCGTCCCCTCCCTGGACATTCTGTCTTCATAACACCACAGGTGTCCACCTGCTAATGAACTCCAGTCAGCCATAGCAGGAGCCTGGCCAGAATGTAATTGTTCTCAGCTCCCTCAGAGAACAATAGGAGATAACGAGGGATGGTTCTGATAGTCTTTCAATAACCAGGTCACTCAGTGTAACGCACTCAAACATAACCCAACACCAATACACATTTAACTTATAAACTGATCACCATGTCGTCACACCTAGTTCGGCCTCCTCTGGAGTATGCAGTCCAGTTTTGGTCACCAGTACTCAGAAAAGATGTCCTTGAGCTGTCCTTGAGGAAAAAGTCCAGCGGATTGCAACCAAACTCATTAAGGGGTTGGAGGACCAGAGCTATGAAACAAGGCTGTTAAAATTAAATATGTTCTCCTTGGAAGTAAGGAGATTAAGGGGGGACATGATTTTCTTGTATAAAATGTTCAATGGTGAAGGCAACATTTTTAACAAACTCTTTACGGTTAACCCCATAACAAAGACTAGAGGCCACCACCAAAAATTGGTGGAGAAAAAATTTCAGCACACGGGGCGCAAGGGGTTCTTCTCAGTTAGAGCGGTTAAGGTCTGGAACTCACTGCCACAGTGCGACGATCGTTCCGGGTTGCGGTCCGCTTCGGGACTCCGAAGTCACACTGCGCAGACACGAAGAGGAAATCCCGCTACTCGGCGCAGAGCGCGTTCACGGCACCGCACAGACGCACCCCGGGGCTCCGCCCCCTCTCACCTCCAAGCTGGAACGGCGGACTGCGCAAGAGCGCTGCAGGACTCCGCCCCACTTAGTTTGAGCAGTCGGCTTAAGGCCGCTGCTAGCTAATTGATTGGCGTCCTACTGTTGGTTGTAGCAGGACGCTGATCAATCAGTTGTCCCCCTTGAATTCCATCCGGACCCTGTCTAAGTGGCACAGCAGCCCCTCCTGGGTCTCACCATTCCCTGAAGACTCCACAAATCACAAGTACATGGGCTAGGTCCCACCTGTGGCTGGATGTTAGTGCTGTGCTGAACTCCATTAACAATTCATTGTATGCTTCAACTATAACTCTTATCAATTAACCTGCTTGACATTGCGAATGCTGACATCTGTGACAATCCATAGATTTGCTGCAAGTTGCTCATACTACTCAACTGCATGATTGTGGGTTGTGGAACTCCTTTAACACTGAATACTTGTTCTACTACATCAATTATCACTCATCTGCATTATTGTGCTGTTGCTGTACTCCTGTGACAATTCATTGTATGGACAGTTGTTGCGAATTGCCATTAACTCCGTGAGGTCGCAGGTGTGTGGAATTCCTCTACATTGCATAAATGCTTCTACTACTCCTCATCATACTTAACTCGGGGTGACATTGCTGTTGTGCCTAACTCATTGACATTGCGTATAGTCAGGTACACTTGTGCATACAAAGTGACCTGTCTATACATACTCCCATTTCCATACGGGGTATGATGTGAAGCAGCTCCCTCTCAGCCTCTACAAATACAGGGCATTGGAGACTGAGCTGCAAAGACTGATCCTCATTCCTCCACACAGAATGCATACTCCGCAGTTGAGATCCTCATATATTCCCCAAGGGAAGCGAGGCATTACACACAGGCAGTGATTTCAGCAAATAGTGTGGAATCATTCAAGGAACTCTTGGACGATTTCCTTGGAGACCATAACATACAGGGGTACAGGTACTGCTGAGAGCAAAATCGCACATGGACTCATACACACGCACACACCTGCTCAAACATAAATGCATACGCATAGTAGGTTGGACTTGATGGACTTATGTCTTTATTCAACCTCAAATACTATGTAACTATGTACTGTGAGGAGTTCAGCTTTTATTTGAACTTTATCACAACAAATCATGACCTTTTGCATCACCCACCTTTACCATACTCACCAATCAATAAGGCACAATAGTATACTTTGCATGATTCACATCCTTTAGCTCCCTATATATCTGACCCTACCATGTAAGGGCTATTTAATTGTGTTTGCCCCCCATGCTAAAGGTTCCCAGTTCTCTTCAGATGCCAGTAATGGGCAAAAGGTTGATGGACTGCAACTTCCAATTTTTCTCAGTGATTCAAATAAATTAGATGCCCAAGACTGATTTCCTATAAATTTCAACCTTCTCTTGCCATGAGGAGCTCTCACTCTATTGCTGAACTTTAAACTTGCGACCCTTTTGAAAAAAGGTGGTTGTTTATTCCCTGCTAGACACCTGCTAGTTTCTGGCAATTTTTTTCACCAACTTGTTGACATCATGATTTTCTTATGACGTTTTTTTCAAATTTGTACACCTCATTGTATGGAATTTTGGCTAGGATACTGATGTTTTGTATAGCTGACTTTCTAGTATTTATTCTAGTATTGTATTCCTAGGGACTTATAAAGCCATTGGTTTATATTGTGCTGCATATACTTTATATCAGTGGTTCTCAACCTGTGTAACCCCAGGACCCACATTTGGCCTTGATCATTATGTCATGACCCAAGTCACACCGCACTGGAACGCACGGCATCAAATTGTGGGTGGGAGGTGCTTTTGGGGTGCCATTCAAATAAATGGCAATGCAACACACCTCCCACACCAGAATTCATGGTAGTTGCGATTCTGTGTGGTATGGGACTGTGCAATTTATTGCACTGTACTAGTGTGAA